AACGAACGGATATTAAAGTCAGTGGCTCCACAAGATTTTGGATCAAATATGTATTTAACTTAAAAAGCAGTGTCTTCTTATTAGCAGAGCATAGTGGGTTGTCAAACTGTCTCTTCAGAAATGCTAACCAGACGTTTAATGTTAAGTTACTGCTAGAGAATGATGGAACTACATATGTTGATTCAAAATGCTCATCCTAGCAGGGAAAAGCACTTACGTCCCCAGCATACATTTTTTCCTGGAATGCATGTACACATATCAGTGGTTTCTGTCTTTCTGAATCTGCAGATCCTTAACAAATTTTCAGGGAAGACATGGAGCTCTACATAGCAGACTTCAACCTGCTAGTGACAGGCTTGCTTCTTTTAGGTACCTTTTGCAGACTTCAGAGAGCACACAAAAAAACACTATGAGAGAGGCACAGCTATCTGTATTTGGAAAGATCCTAGTATCACAGCTGAAGAGCAGGGAAAGCTGTTTTCTCACATCCAGCTGAACTCTACTTCCACTGAAACCAATGCTTGCTTTACCACTGATGCCAGTACGACAGCTGAATAGAGGCAAAAGGAATTTAGAAAAACCCACCTGTAAGTTAAAGCCAGAACACTTCAACTAAAACAAATGTGAAAAGATGAATATAGACAGACTGAGACTACAGAGATGAAACCCCCTTAAAATCAACTAAGAATTTAAAGCAAGTAAAGTAATTGTTAACTTGTACAAAGAAGCCGTTACAGACAATACATTTTGTAGTGTATTTGGACAAGTAGTCAGGGAACATAGTAATTGGTGGAAGTACTGTATTAGTGAAAACCATGCTCATCTTCATGATGAGCCCATGTACCAGTGCGTTTCTAATCTGCTGCAGAACTGTCTTTCTTAAAGAGATATAGCCCAGTAATTACCTTACTGCTAATCTAACTTCACTATCCCCTGCCAGTTACAGTAACAGCATCAGTAACAACCGAAAGTCAGATAAACTACCATGCTTTCAGCACGGTCAGTTATTAGGGGCTACAACAAACCACCCTGGCTGTGGGCCCGGCCTTACACACTTTGGTTGACATTGAGCTGTACCATCACTCAGCGTGAGGTTTCATGTGAGCGTCACCCTGGCTCTATCCAGGATGACTGAACTGTGGGTCAATCCTGAGGGAAATCCTGGCCTCAGAAAAGTCAAAGGGAGTTTCACTACTGACTTTAATGGGATCAAGATTTCACCTAACAGGATTATAAAGGCTGCAGCTTCTCTGACAGAGATAGAAAATTAGTGAACACTGCAGGGCAGTGCCTCTGAATTTCAGTCAGGCATTTGATACCATGCCTCATAAAAGCCTGCTATAAATACCAACTCACACTAAGACTGGAACACTGCTGCACTGATTGAAAGCTGCTGGTAAATGGCAATGGATCAAGCTGAGGAGAAATGTCTGTGACAACAGTTCTCAAACTTTCTTCTTGTATCCTAGAGGAAAGCACAGTCTGTGCCTCCACACTACCAGGAACACTGCCAAAGGACACTTCCCACCCACCAAAGCAAGGGGTGCTTTACCATAAGATGGAGAGATGATGCCCTTTGCGAGGTTGAGCTATACCAGGTGGGTTTTTGCACTCAGGATTGTGACCGACCCAAGACAGCCTCGGCAGCATCACATGCCTCCTGCCCTGGGATCCCAGCTAGCCCTGTGCTGAGGCCCCAGCCCTGGTGGACACGCCATGACGCTGACTCTGCTGCTTATTCCAGAGATAAACTGGGAGCAGTCAGCATGGCTTTCTCTGACTGAATTCTGCCTCCCCTAAAGCCCCGCGAAGTTCTGCCACTGACTCGAAGTGGGAGAAACAGTTCCTGGCCCCTGCTGTTTCCCTCTGCTCCTGCTTTGTGATTCTGCTTGCCTCCCTCTCTGGCCCACATCCTGTGGGTGCTCCTGCCCCAGCCTTCTCCTTCCTGCCACACTCCCTGCTCCCATCCCTAGGGTTTCTTCTGTATAATGAACAGAGAACCCTACAAAAAGAAAAATTCAGGATAAAAACTTGGCAAAGCTTGTTGGCAAAGATATCATACCTTGCTAAACAGACTTACAGTGAAACAGAAGAACCCTAATGTCTACAATTACACTAATAAATAAGGACTATGCTTACTGTAGTACGTAAGTAAGTAAGGCTCTGACCCTCCATCCTGAATGTCAACTGAAGTTTTGCTTTAGACTTCAGCAAGTAGGCCCAACCCAAGCACACGATGCTGTGCTACAGCAAAACACCCCACTGGATCATTACTCTTGATTCTGGGGGGCAGTGGTGCATTTGTAAGACATTCAAGAGACTTGAATACCACTTCTTCCTCCCATCCTCAATCAAATGAGTGATTTAAGGCTGGTCACGTTGTACCTTTGTGTCCCTGTTTGTCTTCCCTATCCTCTACCTTCCACGCATAAACTGATCTTCTTTGTAAACTACTATGAAAGGCAGGAGTGAAAAGAGCTTGTGTCAGAGCCAGGCAGAAGAAAGTAAGGTAATGTGATTATAAAAGCAAGTATTGTAAAAGGCAAAAACATGCATTTGAAAGGCTGTTACACAAGCGATATCCTCCATTGTCACTGGAGTATCGGCCACAGAGAGTACTACATTAACCACAGTTGCTTTGCACACCACCTTTCAGCCTCAGAGCTGAAACTATTACATGGCCCCTGGGAACATACATTCCCCGAGACCTGGGGTTGGGTTACCGTTATGTACTGCATGGCAGCTGACTGTGGAATGAATGGTCATGCTGAGGAAAGCAAACAAGACAGCCTGCAAGGTCCTGGAGATCACTTTCAGCTATGAGAAAGCTTTTTATATTTTTATACCTTCTATTTAACTGCTAACCCCTTTGTTTGAAAGCCACAAGAGCAGAGAGCATACTGCAGGCATAGCACAGAGACATCAAAGCAGACAGAACAGGGAGCAGTAGGACATGTTTTCCAGAGTACTACATAAGGAAGTATAGACAAGCTCCCGCATTTCAGCCAGGAATAGCTTTAAAAAGCCATTTTGGCACAGACTGTAAAGTAAACTCATTTGGAAGTGGGGTAGAGGTGTGTGTCTCTAGTTGAATCAGGGACTTTTAAGGACTGCACAGACTCTGGAGGCTTTGGAAAACAGAAGGTTTTTGAACACCCCAAGTTTGTTAGCATGCTTTTAGGAATGGAAAGTATCCCTGTGCCGGAGATGAAAAACATGAGCCATACTAAACCGTATTTGGAGAAAGGAGTTATAATCAGAGAAAGCAATTGAAAAGGTCAGGGCTGTATATGTGCTCAAGCAGGTGGTGCTGTCAGGACACTGAGACCTGAAGTAACAACAACCTCAGTCACAGAAGCAGAGAAACTAAGCAGATAGCTTAACAGATGTGGGAGGTGGATGAAACTGCCTTAAGGACCTTGGACTAAAATCTGGGCTTGATACCCGACTTTGACATTGACCTCCTGTTCCTTCTCGGCAATTCATCTTGGTTGAGTTCCCTCCTCAGTCAGCAAAGTCAGCAGTCTGTGGGGAGGTGGAGAAGGGGACAACACACTATTTTCTTTCCACTCCTGAGAGGGAAGATTTTTTTTAACGATGTGGTTTAAGCTCCCTCCCACAACTCTTCAAGCCAAAGACACTGGAGTAACAACATCACTAGTGACAATACTTCAGATCCAAAGCAAGGAAACAGCTCCTTCCCTCACTGCAGTGAACGTGGAGCAGGAAACTCAAAAAGCCCACATCTATCATTTCTTACTTGCAAAAGCTCTCCCCAAAGCCATGGGAAATACGGTCATACCAAAACATTCCCACATCTGCTGGCAGCTGTTGAAGGATGCCTATTCGTTAGCCTATGGTAACCCAGAACCCCGCAGGCATTCCAGCCCACTTCCTTTTTCCAATGCCACTGTCATTCAGAGGCAAGAACACTGTCTTCCTGTGACATGGGAAGAAGGAATGTAGTCTCCCCTGAGCTGCTTGAACATGCAGTTCCCTATTGAACCAAGTCAAGAGTGTGCATTTATAACCATTTTTACTTCACATTTGCCTTACATGTTTGAAGCTTTGTGTCTGGCATGAAAAAGTGAGAGAGTGTTGCCTAAACACAGGATTTTTTGCCACACTGACTTGAAGAAAGGCTGGGAGCCTCATGAAGAATCTGCTGCTTGTTTAAGAATTTCTGCTATTCTCATGGAAACAAATTCAGACCCATTCCTTCAAGGGCCCTGGGAAACAAGCAGAAGCAGTAGGGCTCTGCTGCAAGGAGTCCTGTGTCGATGCAAACACCCTACTCTTAGTGCAAAAGGGCTGGAGGAAGTATGGCACTAGTGCTCTGAGAAGGGATAGTAACATCATGGAAGGCAGATGAAAAGCCCTGACATTGACTGTTTTGCTCCCTGATGACCCCACCCACAATTGCACAACACCCCTATGATTCTTATCATAGGCAAGGATTAGTCTACATTCAGCTGTCTTCATAGTGATCTAATAGACAAAACCAGCCATCGGCCTCAATTGGCCAGAAACATCGGCACATTCCCACATCAAACCTCAGCTCGGAATCACCAAAACAAGCCTACACACTTTATGATTAGAGGTCACATCTGGTGTGGAAAGGAGGAGGGGAGTAGGAAAAAAACTGGATCCACCCAGCCTGCCATGCCAACATCAAACTGCTGTATCAGAGCACACGACAAACATTACCACAGAAATTATCAGCAGTGCAAGACTGACAATGCCAACATGTTATTAAACACTCATCACTGACTGAACTGAAAGGGTAGATGAATAGAGCTGCCCTCTATATTCTCAGATTTTGTCTGGAAGACAAGAGGTTTGAGTCTTGCTTGCTTGCTTTCTTGCTTTCCTTTTTTTTAAATGACAACTCGGAAAGTGATGGAGCTACCACAGAGCTTCTGATGCTTACCAACCAAACTCTGAGCCCTGTTCCTGGACAGAATTCCCACACATCCTCTCCACCCTTTCGAAACACTTACCATAATGGTGTGATGCGGGAACAGTGCACGGACAGACTTCACAAACTCCACAAAGTGCTCTGAATAGCCGTTTGCCACATCCAGGCAGATGTATCTGATAGGCGGAATGGCTTCTAGAATACTTGTTAACTTGTCCAAATCAGCTTTGCCACTACCTGAGCTTGCTGCTACATGCTAGAAAAACAGGGAGAACAAAAGAGAGTAGCAGTTTGTAAAAGCTGGGATAAACACACACACATCTTATGACTTTTTATGCATAGTTTCGGGAGGACCTGTGCTGGAAACTAGTGAAAATCACACTACATAATATGAAATAAATACCTTCCTAGAAGTATCAATGTGTTACTTCTGTTTTGTTTAAAGGCTCTAAAATAAAGCAAAATTAGCATTTTATCAGCTCTTCATTCACGAGTGGATTCCCATAGACAAATATAATCACCTGAGATGGATGAAGGCTCAGCTGTACTCATATTAACAGAAACACAGAAGCAGCCCTAACTTGGTATGTTTCCAGGAAGGCAGAGTGGCAAAATTCGGGGTGCTGTCAAGAGAGTGGAATCTGGGTCTTTAAGTTCACCAAACAGTCCCTTGATCTACAGAATCACAAAATACTTGAGTTTGGAAATGACCTCTGGAGACTGGGTAGCCCAACTGCCTCGCTCAAGCAGGGTCAGCAACCATCGAAAACAGATTGCTTCCTCCTTTGTCTTCCTGAGTTTTTTCCCAATATAGAAAGAGTTTCCACAGCTGTTGGCCTGCAAAACCTCTACAGAGATCCAAGGTCACAGAGCAAGTATTTAATCACTAGGAGATCCTATTCCAGTGATTATGAACCACAAATGAGCTAAGTGCCAAAGTGTTCAGACACAGGATATTCCTGGACCACTTTCTACCCTATAATGGCACATAAGCAACGCTGATGAACTTATGCGATAGGCTGGCTTGCAGACAATCCCGTAATCAATAGTCTTTATGATATAATTCTAAGATGTGCCACAGGTAAAGATACAATACCGATGTGTGGTATACTTTTCTATACAAAGAAAGTTTCAAAATTTTCTTCAAACACAGAAGAAATCTGGGTATGAAAAACCCAGAACTTAAATCAGTGTTTAAATCTACTGAATGGCACTTCTCTGTAATGGCTCAGGCTAGGACCCTGTGAACAAGTGGGGCAGCACAGCTAGTAGCAGCACAGCGCGAGCTCTGGTGCGAGGAAGTAAACAGAGGACACATGCTCTGACAACTTTCAATGCTCATCCCTGCTTGGTCCCAGCACCTGTGCCCCTCCAGCCTGCAGGCCCCGGGTCTGCTTGTGCACCTGATAGCAAAGACTCTGCCTAGCGCAAGGGCCTGCAGGGCCAGCTTGTAGTTGGGTTAACTCAAGGCTCTTCACATTTGTGGTCTTTGGCTTCTCCCTCACCAGCACTACCACAGCCCGCAACAGCAACAGAAGCACAAGTATTTCCTTCTTCTTTGTTCAGGATACTTCTGTTTCCATTCCAGGCATACATAAACTTTGCTTTTTTGCATCTTAATATAAGCACTTGCACAATGGATTCACATAGCTATTCTTTTTAAATCAGGACAAGCAACTTCCCTGGATGCATTTAAGAACAGCAAATATCTTCATTCCCCAAAACCTCGCTTGACAACAGTATTCCCAAGAAACTCCAGTGTATGTGAGTTCAGAACAAAGCAATAAACCATAATAATTTACAGTATGAAAATGTACCTCAAGGCATTCTGGGTGATTGGCAGCAAACAGTTTCCATTCTTCCAGAGAATAATGCTTGTGAACTGCAGTGAACATTGCATGCTAGCAAAAAAAAGAAACTGATATTAACTTCCAAGTTAGTCATCTTTCCCTCAGCTGCAGAATAACAAGATACCAGAAATTCCCGTTTTCAGTATAGGCTCATCCTGCTTGAAAGAAGGTAACTTAGCATAACCAGGCAACTCCAAATGACTCTTCAAAGCGTAACTCAGCGTAATTTCAAAGACAACTTAGCCGACCTTTCAGGATCAGGTTTCTGATGTGTTTCATGAAATTATGGTCAATATTTTGAAGTGCTAAAGCACTGCAAGAACTTAGGGTGAGCCTTGAGGCCAGAGGCTAATTAACTAGTGACTCCTGACTGCTGCAGCTTTATCCAGTAACCTACACTTTCAAAACTGTTATCAACCAATATTTTTTTTCTGGAAGAGAGCACAATATAGACCTCAAAAACTAAGCTCTAGAAGCTCCACCTGAAGCTGAACTACACCCCAGATGGAAGCTTCCCAATAAGTGTGTCCACTGAAACTATCTTATACCTGCAGCTCTGCCTCCGATAACGGTATTGTTCTAAAAGCAAAGCTGCCTTACAGTGAAATCACAACTTCTTGTTCTTGATTTTTTAACTCATGCCCGCCTGTTCTCCAACAAACATAGCTAAAAATTAACAAAGGCTGCTCATGGTCACCCAGCGGCTCTCCAATCGTTGCAGAAACGAGAATTGAGACTTACTTTTGCCATAACCACAGCCATTTCAAATGTTCCCACAGTGTCCATGTTTGCCACTATAATGGGAATTCCTGTGTAGGTCTGCTTGGAGTTGCGGAAGGTGAAGGTGCGCATGAGGTCGACCTGCAAAGAATACGCACATGTTATTTCAAGTAATTGATTGCAATCTAACAAGAGTTTTGCCACTGACTTCAGATACAGCAGGTTTGGACACTTCTTAATTTTCCTCACATTCCCTATTCTTCCTCTTTTCATTCTACTATTACCTCACTTTATTTATTTATTTTCTTACAACTTCTGCCTTCCAAATAAGAAAGAAAACATAAAAGAACATTTTTTGTGTTACAGAAAGTTCTTGCTGAAGAAAAGGAGAATCAAAATTTAAAAAAAAAAAAAAACACAATAAAAAGAAACAAGTCAGAACTGGCTGGAAAGGAAAGAAAAGACAATGAGGACTGCGGATTATTTTATATAGAAGTAACCTCAGCTGTTCGTTTGTCTGCCTGAGAAACCCAAGTTGAAGACCTAACTCCACAGAATTCAGAACTGGAACTCGCTCTGTCTCCAGGGCATAGACGGTTTTGCCCCAGTCTCTAATGTAAATGACAATACAATAAAGCAAGCTCTTACTTTTGGCTTCTGTTATTGGCACGTGCCATACAATATGATCATACTCTGGCTTATTAAACGAGGAGGCTGCTAGTTTCTAAGTTAATTTCTTAGAACTGCATCAGCCTTCACCTTCAAAGTGATTTCTTCTTCAGCATCCTCAAATGATCATGGTAGCATTAGGCATTTTGTTCCTTACATTTGCAAGAGGTGATATCAAACCTAGATCAGTTCACACTAGTCTGCTTAGCATCTTGCAAAAGGGAAAAAAAAAAAACCCTCTAAGACATGCACAACTGTAAGATATCAGGTTAGTCTCTTTAGTAACAGTGAAAATGAAGGCTCTTGCATAGTTTTCATTACTCCTCACTTCAGCTTTAATTAAAGAACATTGAGACATTGAGAGATCTGAAGTGAACTGAAATCCATCACCAGAAAGGAAGCAATATAAAAAATACTGGACTTTGATTATTTATTTACAACATATTTTGAGCACTGTCATATTGCAACCTACATTCCAATTGATTAATTGGGGGGGGGGGGGGGGGGGGAGGGTATTACTGGTTTGTATAAGAGGAAGAACTTGGTGCCTCAGTGATATATCATGAAACAAGTTCTCATTTTGTATAAGCTCATAAGGGAAGGGTCACTTTGGTGAGCAAGCCAAGATATATCTTAATGGAGACTCACCCTTCTCACCCTTTACTATCAGAGAGGCCCAGTTCTCTATCCATCAATGATGACATAACATTCTTATGGGAATTTCAGATGCAGCTAACCTGAGAAAATGGTATGAAGTAGATAAGTATAAGTATGAAAATTACTCCCTTTTAATGCAATTTATTAAGTAGAAGCAAGGGAAAAAAAGACAACCAGTTCTACCAGACAATAGTACCAGAACCACTGCCTTACAGTTTTACAGAGGAAAAATACTTTTTTCAAATGAACTTAAGAAAAAAATAGAGCAGAAGAGTATGTTTAAGAAAAGATTGAGCCAAGACGCAAAGCTATGCATGGAACACAAGGCCACTACTCTTTCAGTGATTCTCACCTTCACTTACTCTAACTTCTCATATGTGACTTCCTCTAGCCAGTCGGCCAGACGGATCTCATGCAATTATCCACACAACTGATGATACTGTAATGGCAGACATTTATGAGGGATAATTGCAGGGCTTCCCTTAATGAAGCTTTTGCTCTATAAGAACAGGAGAAATGGCATATTGGGTTGGAGATGTTTATGCAGTGCCCTAGTTCTTCGAACAGCCAGTACCAGATGTCTGGGAAGGAAACACAAGAACAAGGCAAGTTTTGAAAGATCTACCTTCCCAGGTCCCAAGAAGCTGATGTTTAGAAACCTTCTAAGCCAAAGGTCTCCTCCAATCCATTGTGCTGAATACCCACTCAAGGACAAAGAACTTGCCTTCTAATTTTTTTAATCCTTCACACATAGCAATAAATTCCAAAGATTAATTATACGTTGCATAAAAACAATGACCTTTGCCTGACAACTCCATTCAGTGCTTCATACTTCTTGTTTTGTGAGAGACAATCAACAGCCACTTCTCAGTTTCACCTCTTCCATCCCACTCCTCATTTCATAGACTTCTAGCATATCCTCCACAGCTGCTTCTCCATACCAAATAGTCCTAGTATGTTTAGGTTTTGCCTCATGTGGAAACCAGTCAATACTGCTGATCATCCTGGCTGCCATTCTCTGTACCTATTTTACCATTATGCTGTTCTTGTGAAGAGATCACCAGAACTGCATACTCAAGATGAGTATACTGAGGAGCATCACAAAGCTAACTGTTTTTCCTTAGCTCCTCTAGCAGCACTTCTAACAATCATTTTATCTCTTTCCTGAGTGGTAACAGCTAATTTATAGCTTATTGTTCTACGCATTACAAGAAAATAACTTCTGACTCTAGGATTGTTCACCATCAGTCAATAACAGTAAGTTTCTTTAGAGAAAAATTTATGAAATATATTTTATAATTCCTGCCTAGACTGTCAACATATGAAAGTACTAAGACATTGGCTGTTCTGTTAAAGCTCCCTGGACTTATTTGAATTTACAAATTTAAATTAATGACTAGACTTCCTACAGGCCACTCGTCTGGTGAACTTAAAATGGCAGCCCGCAGAGGCAAGTCCAGCAAAGGCAAGAATAGCAGGCTGTGTGAGTACCAAGACCCCACAGACAATGCTGCTTCCATTCTAATCATTGCTTTAACCAATTTTGACACTTGAATTCAAGCTTCAAATTTTCTGGTATCTTTTCAAAAAGAGAAAGCAATCATGGAAAATGAAGACGGTGCAAGGAATCAAAACCAAGTACCAACACAGCAGACCTACAAGAGCTGCAAATACCCCAAACTGCCTCTCTAAGAAACTGACTTAATCCTAGTTACTGCATAAAAAGCTACCCTTGCGCAAAAAGAGGCATTCACACCAGAGAAGCGGGCGCTTGCTGATATAAGCTTCAAAGCAGCAGCTTGCTGGGTAACAGGCACTGTAGTATGCTGCCTCTCTTCCTCTGCCAGAACTATTTATTTATATTCTTGTTTTGAAGCAGACTGGGGCTGTCCATTTCAGATCTGGCTCTCACAGACACTGTTTATTCCTGTTGCTATAGCCTCAGTGATGGTGTCCAATTTCTTAACCTTCATCGGTTTTCACTGACCCCCCTCATGACATGCACTTTTTCTCATGTGAAATGTTTTCAACAGTTCATCACAGCCACCCATTCAGCTCGTGTTCCTCCTATCGCTTTCACTTCCCAGCAGCCCTTCTTTCCACAGCCTTCACGCAGCTAAATATACAAAGCACTGCACTTGAAGGAGCCATGTGTCACTCAGTGGAGCACAGCTCCACCTGTTTGCCAGGCCAGCACAGTGAATTTTAAAGAGGGGACATAGGTCCCCAAGCAAATGGCCAGAAAGGGCCTACAGGCCTTATGAGCGGTAATTGCACACGATGAGGAGTTACTCAGGCAGGACACCGTCCTTTGTAAATTAAAAACAACTAGCCTGAGATTACCTCTCTTACCTGAGAGGCCCTCTCCAATCTTACACCTTCATAATGGCAAAAGAGTTTCACTTAGTTGTTGCCCCCAAAATCCCTGGCCATAGGCAAAATAATAATCATGACCACCCAGCTTCCCTTTCCAGTCTTGTCTTTCAGCCTCACTTGATTTGCCTCCATCTCTCTTACAACCCTACTTCCCCTGGAGAAAAGCTTAATCCTCTTTCCACCCCCCAACACAATGTAATTCCTTCATTAGTCAAACTAAATCCTTTGTTAACCTTGAGGTTACACAAGGTAAATGAGAAGGCACCTTCAATCCTGAGGCAGCCATCTTTTTTGTAGAGGCAATCCTCATGGGATTTCCTGGGGTCTTTCCTGATCTCTGCTGAGAAGTAACTATAGCAATATCCTGGCTAACGGTGGCCCTGGGCCAGCAGGGACACAGAGCTCGGGCCTCTGCGGCCTCAGGGACGGCTGGGCTCTGCCCGCACAGGCCACGCAGCAGCAGGAGGCAGGTGGTGAGGGTCAACAGAAGCGAGGATGAAATGCACCCCCCGCCCCAGCCTTCCACTTGATGGGATCCCAACCCGGGGCGCCCCGTCCCGTAGGAAGTGCTCCCCAGCATCTTCACTGGTTGTTTTTTATTACTACTATTATTTTTTTAAAAAAAGAGCATGTCAACTACTGGGTAACAGCACTGCCCCACAACCCCCGAGGCTGAGGGCGAGCATGCCTGCCGATCCGCACCCCCGCCTTTTGCCGGCCCAAGCTGCGGGACGAGTAACCGGATCCCCTCCTCCCGCGCCCCGCAGAGGGGCTGGCAGAGCTGTCGGTTCACGG